TGCCCTGAGGCTGCCCCCTGCTCTCCCTACTGCCCCCTGCCAGGCGGGTGCAGCCGCCGCCTCACAATCGGCCTCCCGTCCATACTGGGGTTGCGCCGGTTGGACGTGCCGTCCCCCGCGTAGTTCCGGCAGCCGTTGTTGTCGCAGCGCATCAGGGGCACGGCCCCGCGCAGCTCGGACCAGGCATCCAGCAGCTCCTGGCCCTTCCCCTGGTCCTTGTCGTAGATCTGCTGGAAGACGAAGGCCTGGTAGTTGTTGTCGGCGAGGGAGAAGGTGTCTCTCACCATCGGCAGGATGTTGAAGTTCCCGTTCTTCCTCAGGCAGGTCCTCAGACAGGGCGAGTCGCGGGTGAAGAAGATCAGGCATCTCTTCTCCTGAGGGGTCCGGGCCAGGAGCTTCCGCACAGGGCTGTTCTGGCCGCCATGCAGCAGGCGCCACTCAGGGTGCAACCTCACTCTCGGGCCCTGGTACATCACTTGGGCAGCTACAATGTGCCCTCCAGTGGGATCATAGAGGCTTCCCGATCGCCGAATGGCTCTGTTCATGTTCTGCAGCTCTTCATGAGGCAGCGCCTCTGCTAGTCTGGACGGGTCTCTGCAAATGCTTGTGGGCAGGCTGACGGCGAAGGCGTATTCAACATTCACCCCATAGCTAAGGGAAGGCAAAGCAAAGGGCCGTGAGGGCACACGGGGCTGTGAGGGCCTGGAGCAGCCAATGGCTGTAGGGTAGGGGCATGCGGTGCCCTCGCTGGCCGGCACAAGGCCCTCAGGGCTGGGGCAGGGGCTGGTTGCACCCTGGGCGAACGGATACACGGGGAGGGTGGTTTTCAGAAGATCAGACACTGCCCCAGGTGCCTCCTGGAAATCAGCAGCCTGGGGTGAGCTTTGGTCCGTCAGCATCACCAGGCTGCGTGTTCCCTCTGGAGCAGGACCCTGCTCATCAAGTGTGGTGTCTTGTGAGCGCCTGCACCCTCCCCCGTGGGCCATGGGGGGAGACCAAGAGGGGGCTGTGCGCAAGGGCTGTGGTGCTGCAGGGGCTGTTGTGAGGTGGGGGTAGGTCCAGGGCTGCAGGGAGAGGAGCGGGGAAGAGAATCTGGCAGGGGAGCAGGCAGAAGGGGCCAGGCAAGGAGCAGCATGAGCTGCAGGGTGGAGGGGGAGAGGGGGGACGACAGAGCAGGAGGCAGCCATGAAGGGGCCACAGCCAGAGGGCAGCCATCCAGAGGGTGCTGCAGGGCAGCCGGCCAGGCACCTGGGGAATGACAGTTTTCCCTTCAGCCTAGAAAGAGCCATGAGGGAGCAGCTGGGGGCTGGGATGGCCCCTGGAGTCACCGCCACCTCATACTTAGCACACGGCTGCCTCGGGCCCCAGCCCGTTCAGGGGACTGGTGCAGCTGCATATTCTGTGGGTGCCCAGAGCCAGCCCTGCCCATGAGCCCCAGGGGCCATCCAGAGCATTTACATAGGGCCGTGACACACAGCCGGCCCCCAAGATGCACAGCTCATGTTGGCAGAGTTAAATACAGGGGGTCGGGGCTCCTCCGTGCTCCCCCTGGCTTGGAGAGGGGATTGGGAGGCAAACAGCACAGACACGGGGCACCTTCATTGGGAACGGCTGCGTCTAAGAGCTGGGTGCTCACTCCCCCCCCCCCCTTCCTGGAGGGGCTGGATGCAGCTGAGTTGCAGAGGGCTGGGGACTCCCAGCCGGCTGGAGCCAGGGCCATGGTACAGGCTCTGCCCCGTACCAAGGGCTATGACATGCGCCAGACAGCCGAGATGGAAACGGAGCTCCTGGCTCCCAGCCCAGTGCACCTTCGCCCTGGCCACCGTGTACTGGGAGGGAATCTTGCTCTGCATGGACACAGTCAAGGTTTGGGAGGAGGGTGCAGGGATCTCCTGTGGGGCAGGGTTGGCTCTATAAGCCCCCAGCCTCCGGAGCAGAAGGGAGTCACTCACGGCTTGATGTATTGGATGATGGTGTGGAGGTTATCTGTGCTGATGTCCCCGAGTGCCCCCGTCCCCAGCCAGAGCAGCAGGGCAGCCATCCAGAGGGTGCTGCAGGGCAGCCGGCCAGGCACCTGGGGAGAGAGGGAGCATGAGCAGTGACAGCAGCATCCCACCCTGCGAGGACACACTGCTTCTGGGACTTGGACCCCCCAGCCATGGAGGGGGGAGACAGATGCAGTAGGGAGTTGGGGGGCAAGCTCTAGGCCTTCGAACGCTATCCAGGCACCTGTCTGGACAGCAAAGGTCAGTCATGCATGTGATTGGTCTCTGCTGGGGTGTGTGTGACACACGACTGCCCCAGCTGGAGGGGTTGAAACCCACTCACTGTGTGTGTAAGATGGGGGGCAGAGGGCAAGCCCTTGAGATCCATGGGGCAGGAGGAGGAAAGGAAGGACTCACCAGGGTTTCCATGGGGCAGGAGCAGGAGGTGCCGGGACTCGCTGACAGATGCACACGCACGATCCCAAGTGATGGGCTCTCAGCTCCCAGCCCCTTTTCTTATAGCCCCGATCCCAGGCCCTGCCCTGCCATGGGTGTGAATGGGGGGCGGTGCCAGCTCCTGCGGCCCAGTTGCAGGCTGTTTCTTTGGCACCCAGGGCCGTGCCTAGCAGGGTGCAGGTTCTGGGACAACCTCTGCCCCCCCTCCAGGCCCTGCTTTCACTCCCTCCCTTCCTGCAGGCCCTGCCCTGCCTGGCCTCTTCCCACCCCTGCTTCTGGGGGGAAGGGTGGCTACAGCCACCCCCTCTGCCACCCTAACTGGTGCCTCAGCCCCGGAAGGATGAGGGGCTCCCTGCAGGCGGTGAGGCTGCCCCCTCGCGCTTGCCCCACTCCAACGGCCGGGGGCGCCGGCTTTTTTTCCCACCGGCCCTGTCGCC